CACCAAGCCGTGCGCATGCGCGACGGGAGCCGGGGGCTCAAACTCTGCCCCATGAGAGCTTCAGCGTGTGGGCGCCTACAGCACTGCCTGATCCAAACCGGCGTGAGACGCGGCCGCCCCGCGGACTCGAGGCCTCTTCCCACACGCAGCCGCACACCGACATGCCCCTCAGGGAGCGGGGGATGGGGGGGCCCGTCGCAGCGGTGACGGGGCCCATTAGGCGCGCCGCGGGCAGCCCCATTTGGCGCCGAGTCTTGAGGCCCCCGTCCCCACGTCACGCATGCGCAGAGCGGTGTGCGCCGCAGAGCAGCCGGTGTGGGGTCTTTCTCGCAAGCAGGTTCGGACTCGGGCTTCGTGGGGACCGGAAGTGAACCCCGCTTCATTACCAGGGACAACGGAAGTCACCCCATTTGAGAGAAGAAACAGGAAGTCACCCTTTTGACCGGAAGTCGCCCCCTGTTGACCGGAAGCCCCATCTCATTCCTCACGCGCCCCCTCTTTTTGAGTGGGTGGGACCGGAAGTGCTACCTTCTCTCTGGCCGGAGCCCCCAGCACGGAACCGCCTTTTCTTTCCCGAAAGTTGCACGATCTTTTTATGGACGGGAAGTGATTCTCCGCCTACCGGAAGTGACGTCCTGGGCAGGAAAGGGGGCGTGGCCAGGTGTCTGTTGGGCCTCTCCCCTTCCTTTCCCCCCCTCCCAGCCCTAGGAGTTCTCGGTGGGTACCTGCGCGTGTGGGGGAGGGGTGATGGGGGTCTCGGTCCCACCCCCCCGCCCCGCGGAGGAGGGGGTTATACCCTCCCTGATCCCTCTGTGGGCAGGTATAGCCGGCCTTCTGCCCCCGCCCCCCCTGCAAACCTGGTGAGGAATGGGATAATTCGGGTTCGGGGGGGGCGGTGCTGACCCGTCCCTCCCCCTTCCCGGGGGGGGGAACCAGGAGGGTCGGTGGGAGGATCAGGGTCACTATAATGATAATATAAGGAGAAGCGTGTATTTAGGCATCATACCCAGTGTCTTTAATGTGTTGGTAGCCCACTGGGCTGTGCCAGCGCTCCTGCTAGGGCTCAGCCCCGGGGTCCTGGCTAGAGGGTCTTCCCCTTTGTTCGGGGTCGAGCCGATGCTGTATCAGGAAGGAATATTCCCCCCTGATCGGGCTGGTGGGGACTGGGCGTGGTGGGGGGGGTGTCAGCCTCTGTAGTGGGGGGTGCGGCCTGTGCCTGGGATCTCTTGAGTGATATTAACAACCTGCTGCAGACAGAGGACGTTGCTGCAGTCCCCCTGCTTTCCCTGTGGCAGGTTCGGGTGTGGTCTGTGCTGTCAGGGTTGGTGGTCGTCTTACGTTAGAGTTTACTTGATGGATTTGTCTGAGCTGGTCAGGCCAGGGCTGACCCTGCCTCATGCTGGGGGTTGGACTACAGGTGACAACTGGAGGTCCCTTCCTGCCCCACTTCTCATGATTATGCCCCCTGGAGACTCCTTCCCGTTCTGCATCCCTAGGATTTCTGTGATTCTCTGAATTATCCAAACCCTCTTCGTTATACGTAGGAAGGCTGTGGGCCTGGGCTCCTTGCTGTACGCGAGGGACTGTAGGCCCATGCAGAAACTGCTAGCCCTGTCTCCACTTTGACCTACTAGGTGCTTCAGAACAAAGTTGGTGGGAGAATCAACGAGAAAAAACCAGGGTGGGAGTTGGGGGGGAGGGGGGAGGCCTATAAAATTAGGCTGTAGGCTAATTTTGAGGGCTCCAAGGGGGCACTAGCCCTTGAAGAAGCCCAAGAAGCCAGTGGGGGCCACTCGGTGATGCTTTGCTTGAGGATGTGTCCTAGTGAGGACCAGGAAGACGGCCCCACAGTCATCAGGGTTCCTCCTACAGGCATGTCTGTTATGTGCATGGAGTTGTGGCCTGGGCCTACCAAGGGAACCACATGCTTCCCTTAATTAGGGCAGTTGATTGGGCAGTGGTTTTCAAACTGGGGGGCATGAAGGAATGTTGGGGGAGGGAGGGGCAGGCAAGACGTTTGCAACGAGCAGGCGCTGCTGCAGCCTCACAGGGATGCAGGGACAGGACGCCCCAGACAGGCTCTGCCAGCAGGCTGCTGCAACTCTGGGAGCCTGGCACGGCAGGTACGCAAGGTAGAACTTCAGTGGGGCCAAGGCAGGAGGCACTGGAGCTGCAGCAGGTGGAGTCTGGCCCCCGCGAACCCAGTGGCTGTTAGGCTGAGGGGCGCCCTGTGCCTGGCTGTGCTGCTTCCCTGGGTTGGTGTGGGGGCATGAACAAAATTGTAACTCAAAGACAGGCTTTTCTCAAAGTTTACTGCAATAGGGGCACAATAATTGATTCCTTGGCACAACTAATGCAGAAAGAGGGACAGAAGTAGGGGTTGGAGGTTGACAACAAGTGCTCCAAGGCGGGGTAGGGGAATTAAACAGGCCTTTTTGCTTTGCCAAGAGGATTGTGGGCCAGTGCCCACCAAGGAAACTCTAAGTCCCCCTTAAGAAAGGAGGGGGAATTATATAGAAGGGAAGGATTTCTTAGGGGGCCTCGTAAGAGACCATGAGAGATCTGTCTTCCTTATGATCCTGTAGGTGATAACGAGTTAATACATGAAGCAAGGATTTCCCTAGGGTGATCTCTCTTATTGCACCGACTGCAGGGTGGAGTTTGATAGGCTTTCGAAAGCAAAACTTCCTTGTTTGGGTTTGAGCAGGAAAACATTTCAGCATTTGCTGCCTTGGCTTTATATCTGTCAGTTTCAAGCCCTGAAACTGACTAGGCCAGTGCTTTCCAAACTTTTCCTTGGTATGACCCCATTTATGGCCCCATTTCCTCAACATGCCGCCCCTGCCCCAAACCCGCAGGTCCCCACCCCCATGACCCCATCTGCTGATGTTGTGACCCCACTTGGGGTCACAACCCACAGTTTGGGAACCACTGGACTAGGCCCTCTTGATAGCAAGGCTTTTAATGCTGCCTTTGAAACTGACTTGATCTGTCAGTATGCAAGCCACACACCAGTCCTGAAACTGACTAGATTTTGCCAGTATCAGGGCTTTTGATGTGTCCCCTGAAACTGACTAGATCTGTCCCTATCCAAGCTGCACCTACCTGTCCTGAAACTCACTAGACTCTGCCATGACGGTGGCTGTGTGGCTTTTAATACAGCCGGTGCAACTGACTAGATCAGTCAGTAGAAGGGTCCTAATAGGGATATGAAACTGACTAGCCCCGGTGGATATCAGGGCTTTTGAGGGACCAGTCCCTGAAACTGACAAGATCTGTCAATATCAGGGCTCCAGTTAGCAGTCATGGAATTGATTAGACCCTGCCAATATCATGCTTTTAATATTCACCTTGGAAAGACTGGATTGGTTAGAGTGGAACTGACTTGATCTCACTAATTGGGCTTTTAACACCAGCCCTCTGAAATTGACAGACCCTGTCAGCATCAAGACTTTTCATAGGAGAGCTGGAGCTGGCTAAGGGCTGTCCATACATATCAGGGCTTTTTAATTCAGCTTCTGAAAGTGATTAGATCTGTCAGTGTGGAACTGACCGGACCTTGCCCATATCAGCGCTTCTGATGTTGTCAGCCCTTGAAATTGGCCAAGCCCAGGGTTTTTAATACCAGCCCCTCTGAAACTGATGAAATGGCTCAGTATCTGGGTTTCAAAACTGACTAGACTCGCTCATATCAGGGCTTTTAATTCAGCCCCTGAAACTGATGAGGTCTGTCCTATCCAGGCATTTAATAGTAGATTTGACACTGACAGTAATCCAGCCTCTGAAACTAACAAGGTCTGTCAGTACCAAGGCATTTAATAGCAGATCTGCAACTGAGTAGGGGCTGGCAGCCTCTGAAACTGGCCAGATTTGTCAGTATCAGGGCTCTTACCCCTCTTGAAGCCAGTGAAAGGGCTTTTAACAGCAGTGCCTGAAACTGACTAGGTCTGTCAGTGTGCATCTGACACAGGCCTGTCAATATCTGGGCTTCTGAGCTACCAGCCCCAGAAACTGACTATTTCTGTCATTTTCAGGGCTCTTAAAGAGCTCTCTGGAAACTGACTAGACCCTGCCAAGATCGGGGCTTTTAATCCAGCCCCTGAAACTGACCAGGTCTATCAGTATCAAGACATTTAATGGCAGATTTGAAACTGACCAGGGGCTGCTAATATGAGGGCTTTAATGCTACTGCCTCTGAAACGGAACAGATTTGTTAGTATCAAAAGTCCAAATACCCTCCTGAAACTGACTGGACCCTGCCTTTAAGGGAGCTTTTAACAGCAGGCAGTGAAACTGACCAGATCGGTTGTTAGGAAATTGATTTGAGTCTGTCAATATCAGCTGCCAGCCTCTGAAACTGACTAGGTCTGTCAGTCCAGAGCCTTTTAATAGCAGATCTGAAACTGACTAGGGGCTGCTAATATTAGGGGTTTTGATGCCACTGGCCTCTGAAACTGACTGTGTCTGTCCATCTTGGGGTTCCTAATAGCAGTCTTGAAACTGACCAGACCCTTCTAATACCAGGGTTTTAATACCGCCCCTGAAATGGACCTGGTCTGGTTTTATGAAACTGATTAGGACTGGGCAATATCAGGGCTTCTGATGCTACTGGCCCTTGAGACTGACCAGCTCTGCAAGTATCCAAGCTCCAAATGCTGGTCCTGACCCTGTTCATATTGGGGCTTTTAGTTTAGCCCTGAAACTGATGACAGCAATCACTGTGAAACTTACTAGGTGCAGTCAATACCAGGATTTCTGATGCTACCTGAAACTGTCCATATCTGTCAGTCTCCTGGCTGGTATTTGGGATCTTTGAAATAGACCAGAGTCTGCTGATAACACCACCCCTGAAAGGGACAAGATCTCTCGGTTTGCAGCTGGCTGGGCCTAGCCAATATCAGGACTTCTGATGCTACCAGACCCATGAAACCGACCAGATCTGTCAGTCTCACAGATCCAAATATTTGTCCTGAAGTTGACTAGATCCTGCCCACATCAGGGTTTTTAATACAGCCCCTGAAATGCCTGGATCTCTCACATGATGAAACTGTTCTGAAATGACTGGATCTCTCATGATGAAACTGAAACTGACCTAGTTCTGGCAATATCAGGGTTTCTGAGCTGGTAGCCCCTGAAACTGACCAGGTCAGGTTTAAGCCTCCCAATAACAGTCTTCAAAGCGATCAGGCTCTGCCAATGCCAGGCCGTTTGACAGCAGTCCCTGAAACTGATGAGATCCGTAAGTATGGAGCTGAGTAGACCCAGCCAATGGCAGGACTTCTGGTGCTCCCAGCTCTGTCCGTAATGGTGCTCTTTATACCAGTGTGGAAAGTGACTGGACCCCGTCAGTCCTGGGGGCTTTTAGTACCAGCCCCTGAAGCTGATTATATCTGTCAGCATGAAACTGACTAGACCCAGCCAACATATCAGGGCTGCTGGTGCTACCAGCCTCTGAAACTGACCTGCTCTGTCAGTATCAGGGTTACTGGCTGCCCTGACCTTGACTAAACCCAGTCAGTATCTGGGCTTTTAAATGCCAGAGTGGAAATTACTAGGTCTGTCAGGTGAAGTTGGCTAGGCTCTGCCACTATCAGGGTGTCCAGTGCTACCAGTTGTGAAAACTGATCAGATCTGTCAATATTGGGGCTGTTTACAGTCCTGAAATTGATCAGACCCAGCTAATTTCAGGGATTCTGGTGCTACCCAACCCTGAAACTGACCAGATCTGTCAGTATCAGATTTATGAGTCATCCTGAAACTGACCAGACCTTTCCAATATCAGTGTTTTTAAGGTATAATATTTTCTGAGTAGTAAGATGAGGGGTTATTAACAAAGTCATTTGTGGGGCAGGTTTAATGGGGCTTGAGTTGTCCTTTATGGCTGGGATCAGGCCTAGGGCTGGTCTTATTTGCATTATGCAAATAACTTGGCATGTTCTCTTGTGTGCACTGACCCACCATGGGTGGGTGGGGAGTGGTGGAATTGGGGGGTGGGTGCGGCCCACATTCTGTATGGGATGGAAACAAAGAGGCAGGGAGCTCCATGCACTCCCAGAGGCTCATGGGATACATGTGAGGCCAGGACCATAATGAGCTCCTTCCTTTCTTTAGGCAGGAGGTGGGTGAGGACGCTGGCCGGGCACCATGGCGGAGCCCGAGCCCCTTGAGGTGATGGTGAAGACGCTCGACTCCCAGACCCGGACGTTTACGGTGGCAGCCGAGGTGAAGGGGCAGGAGGCAGGGGCTGCTGGGAAGGGGGAGGTCTGATGCCAAGGTGCTTTGGGTTTCCAGGGTTGGTTCCACCTCAGAGCTATCCCCAGTTCCTATCCCAGTTATACCCAGCCTAATGCCCCTCGAGCCAGCCGCAGCTTCTGTCCCCATTATATCTAGCCCTGACTCCCCTAGAGGTAGCTGCATCCCAGCCATGTGGTGCCTGCTGTGACTCAGTTTCCCCATGGTTTCCACCCCCCACCTCAGTTCACGGTGAAGGAGTTCAAGGAGCATATTGCAGGCGCCGTCAACATCCCGGCAGAGAAGCAGCGTCTCATCTACCAGGGCCGGGTCTTGCAAGATGACAAGAAGCTGAAAGAATATAGTGAGTCAGGGGTGGGGGGATGACAGGGGGCTGCAGATTGGGAGTGAGGGGCACTGGGTGGGGGGTAGGGGGCTGTGGATCTGGAGTGAGGGGCACTGGCAGGGCCGGGTGTGTGTGCAGGGGGCTTTGGTTTGGGAGTGAAGGGAACCAGGGACATCAGGATGCTTTGTTTTCACCTCCTCACCCCTCTTCCCCCCAGATGTGGGGGGCAAGGTGATTCACCTGGTAGAGAGAGCCCCCCCCCAGGCCCAGTCGCCAGGCTCAGGGGGCCCATCGGGTCTGGGTGGGACTTCTGCCCCCCACAACGGAGGGAGCGGAGCCCGGGGCCCTGGTCCCACCCCCCACGACCGCAACGCCAACAGCTATGTCATGGTGGGCACCTTCAACCTTCCCGTCAGCATCATGGACCCCCCTCCACCCACCCCGGTGAGTCTCCCAGGTACCTGGTTTCCCTCCCCACTGGGAGATGGGCTGGAGGGCCTGGACACCTGGGTTCCCTCCTGGCTCTGGGTGGGTCTGGATCTTGATCCCTCTCCTCTTCCTTTTTTCTCTCCCTGCCCAGATGGATGGCTCCTCTGTGGACGTTCACATTAACATGGATCAGGCTCCTATCCAGGTATGGGGGTGGGGGTGGGGGCTGATTCTAGCCAATTAGGGTGGGTCCATGGGCTAGGGGGTAGGAGATGGATGGGGTGGGCTATCTCTCCCCTCCCCCATAGAAGAACCCAAGCATCCAGGCTCCTAGTTCCCCCACCCGCTTTTGAAAGACTGAAGCAGGGACGTCTAGGGTGTAACAGCAGTGGGGGCCGGGAGCCTGGACATCTGGGTTCTGGGGGGGGAGGGGGGAAGTGGGGGCTAGGGGTTAAAAGCAGGGTGGGCTGGGAGCCTGGACACCTGGGCTCTCTGAGCAGAGGGGGCTATGCTCCCTATCCTGACCCCACTCCCACCACCCACCGTTGCAGAGCGAGCCCCGTGTGCGCCTGGTGGTGGCTCAGCACATGCTGCGAGACGTCCAAGGCCTGCTTAGCCGGCTGGAGGTGAGGCCTCGAACCCTGACCCCTGACCCTTGGGTGTCAGCAGCGAATCCCCTTCCAATTTACTAAACCCCTTCCCCCATTCGTGCCTTAGGGCAGCACAAATGGACAGGCCCCACTCCCGCCAGACAGCTCTGCCCCCTCCGAGCAGACCCCACCCCCTGCCCCCGAGGAGCGGGAGCCAATGGAGGCGGTCAACTCGGAACCCCCCAGCCAGGAGGCTCCTCCGCCTGGGCCCGAGGGCCCCCCTTCTGCTGAGAGCACCCCCAAGTAAGGAAGGGGCTGCAGGTCAAGAGTGAGGGGCACCTGCAGGGCTGGGGGTGGGTTCGGGGGTTGAGGGTCAGGGGCACTGGCAGGGCTAGGGGGAGGGCGGGGGACAGACGGCTGCAGGTCGGGAGTCAGAGGCACCAGCCAGGCTCGGGGGAGCAGTGTCCAGGGCCCTGTGTGACCTGATGTCTATTTGTCTTCAGCCACCCGGCACCAGGGGAGCTGGTGGAGGTTCTCCTGGAGCTGCAGCGGGTCCAGGGCCAGCTCCAGCCCTTCCTGCAGCGCTACCAGGCTGTCCTGGGCTCAGCCAGCACAACAGACTACAACAACAACGTGAGCAGAGGCTGGGAGGGGTGGGATCTGGGCCTCTCCCCCCTCCCTGGAGAATGGTACAACCCAGGGGAAACTAAGGCAGGGGCATTTCCCCCTTTCCTAGGGAAATGGTATAACCCAGGGGAAAGTGTGGCAGGCTATTTCTTCTCTTATAGTGGAATGGTATAACTTGGACGGGCTGTCAGCATTTCTTCCCCCTCTCTGGGGAATGGTAGAACCCAGGAGAGTGTTTGGGTGGGCATTTCCCCACCTCCCCCCCATCCCTTGGAATGGGACAACCCAGGGGAGACCTATTAACATTCCCCACCTCCCCCCCATCCCTTGGAATGGGTACAACCCATGGGAGAATGTTTGGGGGGTGTTTTCCCCCCTTGTTGTGCTGTGGTATAACCTGGATGGGGATTTATCAGCATTTCCCTCTCCCTCCCCCCAGTGAGATGGTACAACCCAGGGGAGACTGGAGGAGACATTTCCCCCTTTGTAGAATGGTATAACCTAGGTGGGAGCTATCATTTTTTCTGCCCCCCACTTCCTAGAGAATGGTATAACCAGAGGGGTAATGTGTTAGCATCACCCCTGCCATCTGTGGGGAAGCTGGGGGGCGGGACTTTCTCCTCTCACTGGGGAATGGTACAACCCAATGGAAAGGGTGGGGGTGCATTTTCCCCCTCTCCAGGAAATGGTACAACCCAGGAAGGTAGGTTAGGGGGGCATTTCCCCAGTCAGAAGTGGGTGAAACCATGGTGAAGAGTTGGTGGGGGGAGGGGAGTCTGGAGTGGGTGAAACCATTGTAGGGGGCTATTTAGGATGGAGGTCCATAGTGGGTGAAACCATGTAGATGGCTAACAGGGGAGTGGGTAAAACCAAGACGTGGGTTCCTAGAGAGGATCATGGATGGTGAAACCATGGTGAGGGATTGGAAGGGGGGGTGGGAATCAGGGGTGGGAGTGAAACCATGGCAGAGATTGGCTGGAGGAAACCAGGAATGGGTGAAACTATAGTGTGGAGGGGGGGTGTGTCAAGAGTGGGTGAAACCATGTAGGTGGTGTGGTGGTGTGTGGATCAAACCAAGATGAGGGGCTTTTAATGGAGGTCAGGGTTTGATGAGATGATGGAAAGGAGCTGAAGGAGGGGAAGTTGTGGGGTGGGAGGCACCATTGCAGGTGTGGCTGGGTGCTAATGAGGGGTGGTGCTGGCAGACGGAGGGGCGTGAGGAGGACCAGCGCGTCATCAACCTGGTGGGCGAGAGCCTGCGGCTGCTGGGGAACATCTTTGTGGCCCTCTCGGACCTGCGCTGCAACCTGGCCTGCAACACCCCCCGCCACCTGCACGTGGTACGGCCCATGGCCCACTACACCGCCCCCATGGTGCTGCAGCAGGCTGCCATCCCCATCCAGGTGAGCCCCTGCAGTGGGATCCAGGCATCCAGGGCAGTGCCCGGAGGTTGGAGACCCCTGGGAGGGGAGACCCCAGGTGGCTGGGGTGGTCCCCAGTGCTCAGAGACCCCAGAGAAAAGGGAGCCCAGGTATCTGGGGTGGTGTCCAGGGCTATGAGATGCTAGCAGGGGGAGAACCCATGAGCCCGGGGCACTGACTGGAGGGAGGACACCTGGAGGGGAGGGAACCTAGATGTCTGGGCAGGGCTAGCTAACCTCTGGCTCCTCCCCTCCCCCTGCCCCACCCCCCAGATCAATGTCGGCACCACGATGACCATGACGGGCAATGGGGCGCGGGCAGCCCCGCCCAGCACTGAAGGGGCCCCACCTGCTGCCCCACCCCCTGCCACGGTCCTGGGTGATGCCCCTGAGGGGCAAGGCCCCACCCCCGGCTCTGGCCCCACCCCCACTCAGAGCCAGGCCTCCCAGACCAGCCATCCCCGCGTCATCCGTATCTCGCACCAGACCGTGGAGCCTGTGGTCATGATGCACATGAACATCCAGGGTGAGTGTGGGGAGTTGCAGGTTGGGAGTAGGGGAGGGAGGGGGCTGTGGGTAGGGAATGAGGGGCACTGGCAGGGCTGTTGGGGACAGGAGGTTGTGGGTCATGAACAAGGGGCACCAGCAGGGCTGGGGTCTTGGGGCTGCAGGCTGGGAGTGAGGGGCACTGTCAGGGCTGTGGGGGGCAGGGGGTTGTGGGTCAGGAGTGAGTGGCAACAGCAAAGCTGCAGGTCGGGAACAAGGGACAGTGGTAGGAATGGGAGGGGAGGGAACTGTGGGTCAGGAGTGGGGGGCACCAGTATGGTTGGAGGAGGAGGAGGGGCTGAGGGTCAGGAATGATGGGCAGTGACAGGACTGCAGTGGGGGTGGGGGGTGGGCATGGCAGGGCAGGGACATGTATCTTCCCAGACTAATGGGTTTTTTCTTGCTTGACCATTCTGTCTTGCTTCGCTTCAGACTCTGGGTTACAGGTGGCAGGAGGTGGCTCAGGGGGCACTGGGGTCCCTGGTACTCCCGGCTCAGCTGGACATGGGCAAGGAATGGGTAAGAGGGGGCTGCAGGTCAGAAGTGAGGGCCACTGGCAGGGCTGGGGGGGAACAAGGGGCTGTGGGATGGGAGTGAGGGGCACCAGCAGGGCTCTGGGGGGCTGGCAGGTTGTGGGTTGGGAGTGAGGGCCACTGGCTAGATGGTAGGGGACTGGGGGGCTGTGGGTTGGGAATGAGGAGTACCAGAAGGTATGGCAGGGGTTGGGAGTGAGTGACCCTCCCCCTGCCCCCTCTGTCCTCCAGGGGGCTCCACGCCGCTACAGATGCCCAGCCTGCCCCCGGAGTTCATGCAGGCCATGGCTCACCAGATCACCCAACAGGCCATGGCGGCAGCCGCCTCTGCTGCCACAGGTAACCCTCCTTTGCTGCGTCCCCCAGGGCTTTCCCCCCACCCTGTTTCCCAGCTGCTCCTTCCCTGAGCTGGGTGCACCCAGCCAGGTTGTCGAGCCAAGATAATTTTTTAAACTGATGACTAAAGGGTTTTTTGTTTTCCTTTTTGCTTTTTTAACTGATGGCTGAACGTTTGGTTTAGTTTTTTCACTGACTGAATCTTTTTCTTTCCACTGACAATTGTCCGGTCATCATTAAAGAAACAAAAGGTACATTTTTTTTTTTCCCCCCGATTGATGACTGAACTTTTTTTTATTTTTTTTTTTACTGACGACTGACTGGACTACTTCACACTGGCAACCAGACCTTTTTTTTTCACTGACGGAACATTTTTTTTCACTGATGACCAGCCAAACCTTTTTTTCTGCTGATGATTGAACCATTTTTTGCCAACAACTGAACCTTTTTCCACTGACAGCAGACGCAACCTGTTTCTTTTTCACTGATAACTAACAGATTTTTTTTTTAAATGACTACCCAAACCTTTTCTACGCCCTAAACCTTTTTTATTTATTTATTTTTTTAAATTGGCAACTAATGATCAAAGTGGTTTTTGAACCGATAACTAAACGTTCTGTTTAACAATAGCTAATCACTGAACCTTTTCTTTTATTTACCAACAACTAAACCTTTTTTAGCTGACTAGACCTTCAAATCAGCTCAAGCTGCTGGGAGCTTTTTACTGACGGTTCTTTTTTTTAATTTTACTGACGGGCATTTTTAGCCTGATTTTTACTGATTACATGTATAGTTAGCAATTTTGATTCCAGCTTTCTGTGACCTCTCTCTCTCTCTTCCCTCTTCTGCTTCCACAGGTCAGCAAGTTCCTGGCTTCCAGACGGCCCCAACCCGTGTGGTAATTGCCCGGCCCTCAGCACCCTCTGCCCGGCCTGGCCCCCCTGGTGCCCCCCAGCCTGCAGGCCAAGGGGTAAGAGTTGAGCTGGGGGCTGTGGGTCAGGAGTGAAGGGCACCATCAAGGTTTAGATTTACCTTTTCATCTCCTTCCCAGGTACCTGGCCCAGGGGCCAATGCCTCGCTGGCTCAGATGATCAGCGGCCTCGTAGGCCAGCTCTTGATGCAGCCTGTTCTTGTAGGTGAGTCAGCGAGGAGTAAGAGATGGTGGGGCTGTGTGTCTGTCCCCCATGGGGGTTTATGGCAGTGGGGACAGCTGAGATCCCAGGATGAGGTAGCTGGACAGGCGGTGAGGCAGGGATTGGAGTGGCTTGTGCTGGCTTGGGGGTGCAGGTCAGGAGTGAGGGGCACCAGCAGTGCAGGTGGGGGGTAGGGGGTGGGTCGGGAATGAGGGGCACCAGCAGGACTGGGGTGGGGCAGGGGCTATGGGTCGGAAATGAGGATCACTAGTAGAAGTGGGTGGGACTTTGCCCTGACTCCACCTCTCTTCTCCAGCCCAGGGCGGCAGCTCGTCTTCAGCCTCGACTTCCTCCTCTTCCTCCTCCTCCTCTTCCACCTCCACCTCTTCCTGCTCCTCCACTTCTGGCCCCTTTGGGGGGGCCCCAGTTTCCCCCCCAACAGCCTCAGCCAGCGCTGGCACTACCAACACAGCCACCACAGCTGCTGGGGGCAGTGCCAGCCCCACACCCAGCCCTGCGTCTGGCCCAGCCCCAGCTCCGCCCCCTCCAGCCAGTGATGACCTCCAGCTCCCGCAGCTCCTGGGCACCCTCCTGGGGAGCGGGGTGGGGGCTGGCCCCATTGGGGCCCCGCCCACCATCACTGTGGCGATGCCGGGTGTACCTGCATTCCTACAGGGCATGACAGACTTCCTACAGGTAAGCCCCGCCCCTTCCCCTTCAGTGTGGGCCATGTGCCCCTATTTAGGTCAGTTCCAGTTGGGCCCTGCCCCTGGCAGAAACCACACCCCTTGCTCCCAGCTCAGACTGTGTGCTTGGGGACAGGCTACACCCCCCAGGACCAGGCGACTATTCCCTTAGACCCAGCCTGGGGACAGGCCACGCTCCCAGTTTAGTAGGCCATACCCTGTGGAACAGGTCCCACATCTTCAGAGCCAGGCCATGTGCCTGGGGAGTGGTTATGCTCCGTTAGGTACAGGCCACGCCTCCTCTGGAATCACACTGTGTCCCCTCAGGGCAAGGTCTTGTGCCTGAAAACAGGCCACACCCTCATTTAAGCCACACCCTGTCTGCGTCTGGCCACAACACTGTGGGGGCAGGCCATGCCCCCTCTCTCCAGACAATGTGCTTTGAGATGGGCCACACCCCCATTTAGGTGGCACCTGCCACATAAGCCACTCCCTGAGAATAGGCCACACCCTCCGCACACTGCCAATTTAGGCCCTGCCTCCCTCACTTGTGACTGACCATTCATCTTGCTTCCTACCAGGCTGCCCAGCTGGGCTCTGCCCCTCAGGAGCCGGCCCAGCCCCCACCCCAGCCACCTGTGGCCTCCTCTCCACCCCCACCAGCGGCCAGCCCGCCACCACCACGGGGCGGAGCTGGAGGGCGGGGCCGGCCGGCCGAGACCCTGCCCCCCGAGTTCTTCACCAGCGTGGTGCAGGGGGTGCTGGCCTCCCTGATGGGCTCGCTGGGTGCCGCACAGGGCAGCACCGAAAGCATCGCTGACTTCATCCAGCGCCTCAGTGGCTCCAGCAACCTCTTCGAGCTAGGAGCCGAGGGCGCCATCGGTGAGCCCCGCCCCCCTGACATAGTCCCCACCCCACCAGGGCAGGCACCATCCTGCCCCCTCGGATCCAGCCCCTGTGCCTGGGCCTTGGTTTAGGCTGCACCCCTACGGAATCGGCCACACCCCCTCAGAGGCAGGCTTCGTGCCTGGGGTGGACCATGCCCCTGTTTAAGCCACACCCCTTGGGGGGGACCAGCCACGCCCCCTGGGCACAGGCGGCACTCCCTTAGAGCTAGGTTGTGGGTTTGGGGGCTGGCCAGGTCCCTTGATTTAAGCCACACCTCACCAAGGGATAGCTCACGCCCCCATTAGCAGGCCACACCCCCACTTCCTGGGGCAGGCTATGCCCCCCACTCGTAGGTCATGCTGCCTCTGTGCCAGGATATAGGCATGAGGCCAGGCCGCACACCCAATCTAGGCTGTGCCCCTCTGGGGCAGGCCACACCCCGTGCCATAGGCACCATCCCCAGGTGCTCCCTTAGACCCAGGCAAGGTCCTCGAGGATAGGCCGTGCCCCCTTGGGCTGGCCTACCTCCTCTCAGGGCCAGCCCACATCCCTAGGGATAGGCTAGCCCCTTCCTGACAGCCTGGGCCCCCTTGCAGCCTCCTTTTGGATAAGCCTTGTCCCCTAGCCAGGGTCTTAAAGGGCCGGTGTCTACCTGCAGGCTTCTTTGGGGACCTGCTGTCGCTGATCTGCCACAACTTCACCATGGTGGACATGGTGATGCTGCTTCATGGGCAGTTCCAGCCCCTGCAGCGCATCCAGCCCCAGCTCCGGCGCTTCTTCCACGAGGAGTATCTGCACGGGCGCGAGCCCAGCGACCGCAACCTCCGTGTGAGAACCCCCCACCCCCCAGCCCTTCACTTCTGACCCACAGCCCCCCAGGCCTGCTTCTCTGGGGCTCCTTGCTGCCCCCTACCTTGGCCAGCCAGCGCTTCTCCTGACCTGCAGCCCTGCTTGCCTGGCCTCACCCGGGCCCCTTGCTCTCAACCCACAGCATCCCCCACCCCAAGTCCTGCTGGTTTCCCTCACTCCCAACCCACAGCCCCTTGGGTGCTGTGCTCACTCCCCTTGGTTTTCCTGGCCTTGTGGCTGCCTCTCCTGATCTGCGCCCTTCCCCCAGCCCTGCCACTGCCCCTCACCCTCGATCCACAGCCCCCTGCACCCCCCGCAATAGTGCCTCTTACTTCCAACCTGCAGCCCCCCTGCCCCTCCTCTAACCATCTCCTTCTCTCCAATCCCAGGCAGCCACCTACAACCTCATCAGTGGGCTGGAAGACTATGTCCGTGAAAGCTTTGTGAGCATTGCCCCCTGATCCTCGCTGCTTGCCCTGGCCTAGCGGGGGCATTGGGTTGGGGGGCAGAGC